GAAGCTTCACTTGGGATGATGGAAGATTGCACTGATGTGGGATGCGTGAGAGGTGATGGTTGGGAGGTGTTCGTGTTTGGGGCGTGACCCTCATGCGAGCTCCCGAGCAATTCGCCGCTTCGGGGAATTGACAGACTGCCGGGACCTCTCGCCAAGATCGCCAAGATCGCCAAGACTGCCAAGATTGGCTGACTCGACAGTCTATCAAACGCAAGGTTTGATGGTAAAACTCCTTTTGTACGAGATAAACTTCCTCATTACATGTACCTATTGCTACTCTTCAATTCTCTTATCGATAATTCGAGTGTACAATACCAGGCATCGTCGATGTAGTGATCGGTTTTGAAACCTCCCATTGCGGTGGCGCTCTGACCATCCGAAATTAGTATCTCCATGCATCATCATTTTCGTGCTGCATGACGCCTTCAAACCGGACGATTCAATACAATGGATCTGGGCCTCTGTAGATCTTTTTCACCAGTCGGCTCCACGACGACAACGGAAAGGAGCACGTGCCTGGGCTGAGCGCAAAACTCGGTCTCGACAACTCTGCTGCCGATTACATGTGAGGCAGACTGTCAAATAGTGTGGACTTTGGCGCGCGCCCGAGCGCTCACTAACCATCTCTTCTACCCAACAACAATACTGAGCCACTGGGATAGAACGGTTCCATCCGTGGGGCCCATCAAGCCTCGATCCTTTCTCCAGAAGCTGTTCCAATATACCGAGCACCGATCACTTTCCCATCGTCGATCCTCACGATCTCTTGCATGAAGGGCATCCCATGCAGAGCCTGCCCTTTCCAGACTAGCACGAGCATGAGCATGAGCATGCATCACAGCAACCAATAAGAAGAACGTAGCCATGCCCAAAACCCAGCCGACTCCAACAGCTTCTAGCCACTGCTCTAAAAAGAAAGGAAAAGAAAGCGTTAGTGCGGGTGGGTATACGTTCATGACCACAATGATCTAAGTGCATGACCAAAAAGGCACTCAGCATAGTTGATGCATACAGGAACGCATAGAACGGCAGAGAACTTGGCTACAAAAGTTTCCAAAGTTGGTACCATGCAGTACGTGATATTGGAGCTCAGCGCCCAAAACACTGATTAGGGAAAGCGTTGCAGAGAGGAATATGCTCCGGAGAAGGTACTCCGCATGTCATCTTATCGCATCTCATGCCTCGAGTAGCCCCCGGAGAGAGTCTATCGTCCAAGAGGGTACCCGTGAGTTGAGTAGCAAACAATTCTACTCGGATGATGAATGTGAGTAGGTTGACAAGTGAAACAAGCGATGGTCATCTCCTTTCAGCAGCTTTTTTCCCTCTGCAAGGATGTGCAACGAGATTTAGGTTTGCCCATGATCTGCAATTTAGAACGGCATGAAGCTATGTCCTCCTTTGCTCACAGGACTTTGAAGAAATAACACAGGTTCGGTGCAAAATTGGATATTACAAGCAAAAATGATGAGCGTGTATGAGCCCGTCAGGATTATCGCTGGGGTCACACGATGTTGAAAGGCAAAAGTGCGCCTTTTTAAGCTTACTAGACAGTGGCGTCGTGTCGGCCCGCTTGCTGCAGATGTGAGAACCCATCGAACCCGAAATTCAGAACTGGGGCACTGTGGAAGTTCCTGGAAAGAACGATCCAACTGTGTTGGCAAGAAATAGAACGGGTAGAGTGTTGCCGGTTGGTGAGTCTCATCCTTTCCTCATGAGAGAGGAGCAAGGTAGTCTTCATTTAGGCCTCAACGACATCGGCTTGCAGAGCGCTGTCGGTGGTCGTCGTTAGCAACAAGGAGGAAGAGTCGGACATGAAGGATGTCATGTTTGCCAACGAAGTTCTCAGGAGCTCGCCAAACCCATCGTATTCATAATCGGTGAAATCGCCAGGTAGCCGCTCTCTGGGTCGGCACTGAGGGGTTGATGTGAAAGCCATCGAGTTGGGCTGGAGATTGTGAAAGTCCGAGCGCTCTCCAGATTCCATGAACCCGACATTAGCGTCATAAGATGAAGGCAGGCGGAAAGCCAGACCCGGTGCCGGTGCCGATATCAGCGACCTTCAGTCCCGGCTTCAAGGTTGGATGATCGTAAATTGTAGCCCGCATGATCCTTTCAAGAAGTGTTGCAGATTTGGTTTACATGCAATTGTCGGAATTTAGCTTACGCGACATGAGATCAAACGGGTCGGAATGCCCAGCATGTAATCGCAAGTGTATCGATCTAAGCTGCTCGCCAATTTTGGCAGTGGGAGATAAAGATGTTAAGACTTTAGGATAATATGAAGAGAGAAAGCAGTTGAGACGGTCTCTTCCATGCACTGGATCATCTCTCCTCAGTGCTTCACGGATTCCAGTTGTAAGGAACTGAGTACATTTTGACACTACGGGTTTTAAACAGAAATGTATATTTAGCGTGGTATATCAGCCTTACCTTTGGACCCTAGGTAAGGTACACTAAGAAAAAATGGTGGGGCCGAGGGAGCTTATTCCTCAACATGGTTAACAGCAATGGCTGGGTGGACCCGCGCTCCGTTTCGACGAAAGCACAGTGAGGAAAGAGCAGGCAATGAGATCTCAGGACAAAACCAAGCGAGTTACCGTCTACCGACAACGATCGAGCTAGAGGAACGCGTCACAAGCCAGGTCCAAGAGGGACGGGCGGAGGCGCGACCAGGGAGGCCGCGAAATGCCACTGAAAGCCCCACAACTGGTATCGATACAAGCCACATCAAGCGACTGCAGCATTGGTGGTCTCACAACGTCCGCTTGAACCTCGAGCATGGCGCGCCAGGAGGTGACCCCCGTGACTACCTCGCTCTCGAAAGGACGTTTCTGGGCTGGTTCAGGACATCCGTTGCTCTCGTCTCGCTTGGCGTAGTCATTACCCAATTGTTCGTCCTGAAGGACGTCCACCCTAGGAAAGGTAGAACTCTTGGAGCTATCCTGTCTTGTGGAGGGATCATAGTGGTTCTACTGGGGTGCGTCAGGTATCTCAAGCAGCAAAGACTCCTCACCCAAGGAAAGGCGCTTTCGGGAGGCTGGCATCATCAGGTTCTAATAATAACCCTATTAATTGTTCTGATCACCCTGTTCGTGGTTGTGGTTGCTGATAGCTAATGGTCATTGCCTTGTCCGTTGCCACAACTTTGCCTCCAAAAAGGAAAATTGTGCTTCTCAAGCCTTGGTTCCTGTCAAAGAGCAGCTCTCTGTTGGGGAGCCGCTACTTACGCCCTGACTATCAATCTAGATCCCTGGCCAAGTATCTGATCTCAGCTTCAACCCTCTCTCCACTCATTTCTCTCGTTCTGGATCCCTGATGGCTGTACTAATAAGCCACGACGGTCTGATGCGCTAGTGTCTCTTTCCTCTGGCTGAGAGCTAGCCGCTTGCCCTTCAATCTCTGGTGGAGGTTCATCGTGATACGCGTCTACTATTCTTCCACGGATATTGTCCCCATCTCCGTTACCACTGCTGAGGCCATTATCCTCGCCTTCGGCGTCCGTGAGGGAGGAACGAGCAGTCCACGCGGACGAGAGGAACGGGCTTTGTGTTCGGTAGAGGACGAGCATCAGCAGCTAGCAATGGCAGTTAGCAATTTGCTGTTGATACCAGAAAGACGCGATGGGGCGAACTGGGCGCCTAACCTTGAGCAGAAAAGCCACAACAGCAACCAAGAGAATCAGTCCGCCAGTGACTTGTTCCATCTGTCTCCATCCACCAAGGCAACTGCTGCCTCTACCAAAAGCTTCGACACAAGCTCTGGCGGTATGGCTCCTATCCGGAAATGGCCATGCTCTGTCCTGGACGTTACGAAAACCACAGCACTGAAATTGCTCTTGAATTCTCCGAATTGCGTCCGCGTTCTTGCTCGAGAATAGGGCGCCCCATTGACGCTCTAGGCCGCAGATCAACTCGCTTGGGGGAGCGACATGAGTGAGAGCTAGTGTAGCAATCACAGTCTCGTAGATGATGAGCAGCACGAGAACAATTAGAGCAGGCCAGGAGAAGGACATCTTGGCACGTGCATTGGAGCCATTTTCGCGGATGCGCAACCTTTGAGCGCCACGTAGAGTGACGCCGGTTATTACGGGTAGGATAATGGTTGCTGTGGCGGTGACCGTGGAGATGGGCAGCGAGAATGCTCGGATCCTGTACAGGGCGATGCTGCAAAGCAATTAGCACTATTCTACGTGACAATAGAAATGGGGTCTGGACGAACCCGCCAGTCACCACAAGTCCGACCAGGAGCTAGGTTGACGTCAGCTGAGACAAACGTTCTCCTCGCACTCAGCTCACCACGGGAACCAGAAAAGAGAGCGCTTGGGATGATGAAGGCATCTTTGGCGTGTTCTCTCAATTAAAAGTTACGATTCTTCTTCAACTCTTGGAAAATACTTATGTGAAGAACAACAGTTTGTGGGAAGAGGCGGAATTGATGAGAAAAGCATAAAGTGGGGTAGACGCATTGAGAAGCTGATTGCTATTTGATTGGTTATCACTTTATGCAGCTTCCCGTCGGACAATTGATGTTGCGAAATTTATCTCGCCTCTATCAACGTATTACTACTGGCCCGTAGAAAAACTTTCACCAACCGCAAATGAGTCAGCACTTCACAAGGTGTCCGGATCTTGACCTTGACCAAACCTGTGATGCATTAACCCGCAAGGACCTACAGTTCTGGACATCGAGAAGGCAGCCGGATGCCACCGTCGAAGGATGCACTTGTATTCTTTGCGACCACGAAGACATAGGGTTTTCCCCGGATGTGGGATACCCAAATTCTGACGTCGCGGGCCCCCAGGATCGATGACCTCTTTGTAAGGTTTCGGGTCCAATGCGTCGAACTCTAAGGATGCAGCATTCTCTCACGCCGAGACCATGAGGAGGTATAGAAATTGCAAGAACATCTATTACAAATCTTCAACGTTAGTGGCTTCTACAGCTGCAAAGAATCTTCGCCAGTATCAGTATTTGATATTTGCTATTCGCGACTCGAAACAATGAATTCTATTGCCAATCGCATGGACATTGTTAATTTCTGGATTTGTTATCAACCTGTCAACATCCGAAAACAGAGTATACCGTGACTCGGCACAACTCTACAGGTTGCCTCCATAACCCACGACTATGCAAACATTGTTGTGATTCCTTGGCCTATTCGGCCACCTCACCACCACCATATTTGCAGCCCCAAGCGGACTGCAGATAGTAGACCCGTCACTCGAGTTGTTCGCGAACGACATCCTTGCTGGCGAGGCCACCAACAACACCCTCCAAATCAAGCCCGATACTTTCCAAGAACTCAATGACCCAAACTACCCGATAGACCTCAAATGTACTCCCGCAGGTCGTGGCTTCCAAAGGGTAATCGTGGACGAATACTACGAGACCGTTGACAGGATTTTGATCCGGGACGATGCCATGACCCCTGAGCAATGGTTCCTGGGCCCTGTTCCCGGGTAAAGTTATTCCTGGACAGCTGATAATTGCCAAATCGGCTTCGGTGCGAGGACATCAACGCGTACACAGCCCCTCCCAATCATTGTAGCAGCGCAGGTGGCGCCTTTGGTGGCTAAGGAGTGTCTTACCCAGGCAAAGGGCTTTCTGGGAGGACTAGTAGTGTTGGATATTCCTGGAGAGCCGATTGCGGGTGTAGGGGGGGCTCGGCCGGTGATGGATGCTTCTTCTGCCTAGACATAGGGGCCGTGATGGAGAGTCTGGAGATTTTTGGGACGATGGAACGCGTCACCATGAAGACTAGCTATACAGCGTCGGTTTTCTAGACAAGCTTTGAATTATACCTCCCCAGGCTCAAAATTGCCAAGTACGACAGAATTTGAGAATACGATTGGTCGATTATGTCTGACAATTCTAGCTGAACTTACTACGATTTCTTCCAAGCTCTTCAAATCGTTTATTCCTCTCTGTCTACAGACTTACTGATTAAATATCCCCTGCGTCAACATTCCAAAAAGTCGCTGTCCAGAAGTGTTCCGTGTCAAGCCGTCGACATAGTCCTTTCGCAAGTCCGTCCCGCAGAGCGGACTTGCGAGACTAGGTAATCGCGGGCGCAATGTTGAGGCTAACGAAACTATATCGGTGCCAATGCTTCTAGATATACACCGTCATCGTCCGCAGCAACCTCATCTCCATTACTAAGGGTTCAACTCTGTACCACCAGGAGAAGAATAGCTCGAAGGAATCTCAAGCGCCCTCCCGACCCTATTGACCCCTTCAGCTACCATAAATCGAAAGCGCTCTATACCCCTCACCTCAATACTAGAATGATACTCCGTATCCTCAAGCCAACCATCTAGCAGCATCTCCCGTGATACGTCGAACAGAGCCGAGTCAAAATGCCCATTCATTGTCTGTGAAGGTTGAGTATCTGGTCCTTCAAACCCTTGAAGGAAAGATTCCATCTTATTTCCCCGAACCCGTTACGATAAGCCACCACGCCGTCCGTTTTCGCTCCAACAATCCATCGATCTTGTGCACGCCGACGGCGGCTCCTCCACCCTTGCTCGCTCGCCCACACCATCATCCAAGCCCATAAATCCGGAACGCCAACAGTGGAGACAGATGCTCCGGGAAGTGGGCCCCCACCGAGAGGATATGGGAAAGCCGAAGGGAGAGCCTTCTCGTCATGAATAATCAATAAATAAAAAAATCAAGAAAAAAAATCAAATCAGCACTTCCGCACCTCCAACGCAACATCATCCATCACCCAATCCTATGTGGTCGCTCACCCAATACAGCATAAGCGAACCCCACAATCCCCTCCCTCACGAGAAAGACGTCTTCAATACTCGTATACAATCCCAGTCCTCCCAGTCCTCCCTTTCGCAGACTGCGCCAGCCCAACCCGCATTCCCACCCCCGCTCCACCGCCCCGGAAGCTCCTCCAAATGCATCGTGCGTGTTTATAATCGGTAAACGCCATGGCGCCGTCTCGCTCGCTTTCTGTCCTTTCTTCACTGCAGATTCGCGTTTTCGATCGCTGACGGCGTGGGTGCTGTTTACATACATAAATTCTTACGAATGATCATCAGGCGAAGCGACGAGTAGGAGTAATGGGAGGGGCAAAGACGGTCAGGGGGGGGGGGGGGGGGTTGCGAACTAGGGAGGTAAGGTAGGTACGACATAGTTGCAGACGGGTTTGGGTTCTGTATTTGTGATTTGGCTCGTCGGTACTGTTGATGGGAGGGTAGGGATGACACTGGGGGTCACGTAGGATGGATGGATAGATGGATGGATGGATGGATGGGTCGGAGGTTGAGAATTGTAGATGCATAGCGAGAGGGGAATATAGATTTTCTGTTACCGCGGTATACTGCGCCGGGCTCGCTGGTGCACTATCCTATGAAGAGAGCCAGATTTGCTCGATTGACAATGAATGTGTCTGGAATACATCACCGCCAGCGAGCATTTCCAGTCAATCCCAAGCCTAATCTCGAAATCCATGCAATCCTCTCATATCCTCCTGAAGCCCTCTATGCTCTATTGCCATCACCCCTGTCTTTCTCACTTCTTCAACCATCGTCTCATCGCCTCCACGCAGCATACTGATATCCTCGCGCAGAACATCGTTCTCCGCCAGCCACAAATCTCCATGAATTCGGTCCTCGCGCGCGGATGCTTTACCTGCAAGGAAAAGGAATGATATCGCTCTCATGCCTTCGAGCTTGAGCCCGAAGACGGTTCCTGCTTCCTTTCCCCAGCGGTTTTTGCGAACACCTATCACGGCTTCCGTGATTAGTAGTGGCTTCTTTACGAGGTCACGCGGTACTGCCTTCATGCCATCGAGGGAATGGAGAGCCCAGAAGAGGTCGTCGTCCATCTTGATCTTCGCGTAACCGTCGCTTGCTCTGATCGAAAGAATAGCCGCATCCTCGCCATCGCAAAGCTCCATGATCAGGATGCCGTCTCCGTCACACTTGTAACCCTCAACATGATGGCCAACTAGGCTCCGTGGATCACGTCCCTTGCCATTGAAAGGTAGAGTTTTGGTGTTAAGGAGATAGCCAAATGTCCAGCCCTCCGCAAGTTCTCGCTCTAGAGCCTCGAATAGCCTGCATAAGAGGTCGTCCTGGCAACCCGATGTCTCCAGTTGGCGCTTGCTAAGCTCGTGCTGGGCGTCGGAGACGAAGAAGAATGGATCATACAGAACAGCGACCACGTCGTTCATCTTTTGTGAGGGCAGATTGAAGGTTGCTATTCGACGTGGAGTGTGAGGGGGTTTTCCGAGGAGTGTGGCCATGTAATCCATTTCTTGGCAGAGCAATATTCGACGGAAGCGATGGTGCTGTGAAGAGCTGAGTTTTTTCCCTTGCAGCTGAGATCTGGGATGCGTGATATCTTTGTAAAATGGCATGTGGTTGGTATCAATCAATCCCAATGCTGGGGTGGATACAAGAGTCATAGTTGGAAGCCCAAGGAATAGATCTCGTAGGACGCCGTGGGGAACCGCGGAGATTTCTTTCGAAAGTCTTAATCATATTTGAGCTGAGAAGCCTTTGATGGGATCAGCTTATGGTCACTCTGTGAAGGATGAAAGAAGCAGCATCAGCATCCCAAGGATGAAATGAAGGCGCCAATAAGAGTAGATGTGAAGAGGAATTAGGTTGCATTAGGCGATATTTGAGTATAGATTCACTCCCTGGCGTTATTGTTCGACTTCAACCTGCTAACATCAAGTGTTGATATCTGTTGGAGGGGTCATGCTAAGCCCAACCAGCCTCAGCACTTCACAGAAGAGGTCTTGTTATCACCACCAGCAATGGTTGGCGAGGACATTCTGGATTTCTCGATCTCATGCATCATGCCTGTAATTCTTCCAAGCGCCTTACAGCCTTTTGTGTAGTGTTACAATAGCAGCAACGCACGAAGGGCACCCAGCACCAATACTGTTGGAATTGAAGAGAGGTTATGGATTGATTAGCTATGGAGTGGTATGTAGGCTACTTGTATACCATGTGAAGCCCATGCTAATTTGCCACCTGCGGGGTAGCTACAACACACTATGGTGCTGCAGCAAATCTCAACACACCCCCATGATGCAGCACCATTGCCACACCCCCATGATGCAGCATGGTTTTCAAGCTGAGATACGAGTATTGTTGTCCTCGAAATCGTCACCCCTTGTCGTTGTGGCCAATCTGGCCTGAAATCTTCGTGCTTGTTTTCCACTATCTCCCTTTGTGTTTTGCCTGATCTTTCATCATTTCCTTATACCAATCCGGAGCCAACTGTGGATATTCAGTCCAGCACTTCTCGCTGAGATGACCGGTAGATCCACAGTGGTTACAGGGCTCTTTTTCCTTGCCTTTCCCCTGGAATCCTGCCTTAAAAAATCGAGCGGAGTCTTGGGAGTGGAGGGCTTGATTGTGTTGCCGACTGGCCTCGAGGACCATTTGACGTGCTTTTTCAGCTGTGATTGAGGGCGTGACAGCCCAAATTTGAATGAGATACTGGTACTCTCGTGGTAATGATATGGAGAGACAGAGAATCGTACGGTTATTCGTATCGAGTGTGACCTTCGTGGCGTCGATTTTCTCTTCGAGAACCTTGATGTGAGTAAGATACTCGGGTACTGTTTTGAATGCTTTGAATTGAAGCGTGTAATACTCCTTTGAGAGACGCATGAACTCGGAGGATCCCGTGGGCTGAAGTATGGTTTGAAGTCTCGTGAGCATGAGGTAGCCGTCATTGAATTCGGCCTCCGTAAGTTTCTGTTGAATACCTGGACTGATTGTCGGAGTCATAAGATCTGCAGCTTCCTGGGATTTCTCTTCCCAATCCTTCATTGCCTTCTCTTGTTTCTTGGTGATTGGTGGAGATGTCTCCGTATCTGTACTGGTTGTTGCCGTAGTGACTGCAGAGTCTTCAGACTCATACTCTCCTTGAGTGTATTTCCAAAGCTTCTTTGAACGGAGCTCTGCTCGTGTGTTGACGAACCATAAACCGAAATTCTCCTCGATAAGGTGTTCCATTTGACGTATTGTTCCACTGTCTTTCGTGGACATTGTGACTGAGTATCCCACTGTCTTTCGTGAGTATTTCTTGGTATCCCACTGTTTTTCGTTGGTGCTCTGTGTTTTCGAGCTGACTTGGTATTCCACTGTCTTTCGTGGATATTTGCTCTGTGTTTTCGAGCTGATTTGTGTGTGGTTTCCTGGGTGTCTTGAGGTATTTGGATTAATGATAGACAACAACTTGTGTAGCAGTTGCGCAAGGGCCCATAACCTGTTGGAATTGAAGAGAGGTTATGGATTGATTAGCTATGGAGTGGTATGTAGGCTACTTGTATACCATGTGAAGCCCATGCTAATTTGCCACCTGCGGGGTAGCTACAACACACTATGGTGCTGCAGCGAATCTCAACAAATACCCTGAGAGCCTTATTGTTGCGGGCATGGCTCCATTGATTGCGCTTGTGCCATCCATTTGTTTCAACTAATGGT